CCCCAAAACCCCAAAACCCCAAAACCCCAAAACCCCAAAACCCCAAAACCCCAACATTGGAACAAGAGTTGAAATTAATTTTATTTTTGATCAGCCATGTACAATGTCTACACTTTTGAGAAAAAGATTCATGAAACTCAATCAAAAGACTCTTTAAAGAGAGAGATGTATAAGACGAATTCGTTTAGAGATAAGAAGTTTGTAAAGAGAAGAGAAGATCTTGCGATCAGGTATAGACAGAGAATGACTGATTTTATTTCAAAAATATCAGATAGGACTCTAATCCAGAATCATCCATACACCGTAGAAAGTTCTTTAGACCAAGGGAAAAGTATGAGATCGACTTTTAGAACAGAAAAAGAAAGAATCAACGCTAGTGTGGAGAATAATAGCATCTTTGATTCTACTCCTTCTCCAAATCTGGAGAAGTCTTTCCAATTGAGGCCAAGACAACCTGAGAAGGAAATAGGCGATCCTAAATTTCGACACCAACCAAAGACCACAATTGAGCGGGTCATGGGTATGCAAATCTAATAATCATATGTTTAGACGCGATTCAGAAAAATGCATTACTCGATGCAGATTACAAACAGAAGCAAACTCTCAGTGTATCTCCAATAAGAGGGTTCAGAAATAGGGCTCCTCATTACTCAAGTGTGATAACTGCCAAAGGATCAAAGAAAAGTAGTTCTAGACAAACTAGCCATATCTCAATCAAAGGTAAACAGAATTGTTCATTTTATGTATTGCTTTCATACTTTCCTTAAACCAAATACCAAGAGCAGAAAGTGCAGTTCCAAATAAAGCACAAATTTTATCCAGAAATTAGGTGATAGATTAGTAGATCTTACTATATATTCGAGGAGTAGATCTTATCATATTTTGGACCAAATCTCACACAATTATAGCCAAGAATCTATTGCCACATCTTCATGAGAAGACGCATTATAAGGCAGCTACCACATTTACTCTGTCTCATCCTCAGAATTTCTACTGACCAAGGTCAAACTCAGGGAAGAACCAGAAGGAAATTATTAGCCAGAAAGTCTTATATAGTGCTTTTAAAAATATTGAAGGGAAGCATAGGGCTATTACTTCTCAATACGGCCAACAAACTGACTACACTCCTAATGCAAGAATCCCAACAGAAGCCTCAGATGGCATTGATGCTGGGAATATTAACATCTCCGATATTACTAGAGAAGTTCTCAGGAAAAATTACATTTTTAGACAGAAATCCCAAGAGATACGAAATGTTCGTCTATTTGCTAACTCATAGGCTACAATAGCAAAAAGTAAACTTCTTCAGAAATAGAGTCATGACTAAAGCCCGATTAGATAGCAATATTCCTAAAAAGATGCTTTTCAGAGATCATATTGACGCTTATAGTCCCAAAAAGAAAGTTAAGAAGCTCAAGAGGAATAATTCCTCTAAGCCAATTTGAGTTGAAATTGATGAGAAGTTCCTTTCGAGCTCCTCTGATGGGTCTAATCACTCTCCCACAGCACATGGAGGAGCTAAGCTCACAGGGAAAAGTACTAAGAAAGTGAAAGTGCCGGTCATCCACAAGTTCAATGATAAAGATGAAAGCAATTTTAGTATTAAACTCTAAAATTTCAACCTGGATTTAGTATTTGGGGTTTTGGGGTTTTGGGGTTTTGGGGTTTTGGGG